GGACGTCATCCTGGAGTCGTCCTGGACGCATCCAGCGACGCGGCGGAATGCGACCGGCGACTCTCGCTCTCTTATTTCCCCCGCTGATTAGCGCGCCGCCGGGCTGACACACTTCCCAAGTGTCCCCGCGGGTCAGCGCCCCCACCCTCCACCCCCTCCCCCGCCACTAATTCAATGAAGTCAGGGCTGCCAATCAGCGAGAGTGGCGGCCCGGCCCGGCGTAATTACGTATGCAAACAAAAAGAAACAATCAATGGTTATGGTTCGAGGAGACACGGAGGCGTTCAACAAGCTGTCCCGGCCAGGGCTCCGTCCAGGGTCCGGCCCGGCATGATGGAAAATGGGGCCGAAAAAAAAAGGAAAGCCCTTTCCCGCTGATTCAACAATCTCGTTTCCGCCAACATTGGAGATATGCAACGTCTTTCATTTTCTTATCCTTTCGTCAGCGCCGCGTATTTGCCTGGCGATTTTTTTTCTTCCCTCTTTTTAAGGGAGCTGTCCCTTATTCGCGGGAGTATGGCTGGATCAGGAGACGGAGCGCCGCGGTGGGTGGGCGGCAATTGTTTGGCCAGTGCGCGGTGGCGGCGCTGCTGGCGGCGTTTGAATTTTTCTCCCCCTCCCCTTTTCTTGACTTTGGAGGTTGGCAGTCGTTGGGCGCGGCGTCGTGTGGCCGGGCCGCCGGCCGGGCGTCCGTGTGTGCGGGGCAAACAGGGACGGAATGTCGGTGGCCGGACCGCCCGGCCCCTTGGTCTGCCCTCGGCCTGGCCTCGGCCTGGCCGCGCCGGGCGCGTAAACTACCCTATTTCCATTTTAGGAGTATTGGGGAACGTGCCTAATCCAAGTCCAGTTGGGCCGTGTGGGCCGGGCAGGCCGAGCGCCTTGGGGCGGCCCGCTGCCCCTTGACACGCGCGCACACTCACACACACTCTCTCTCACACACACACACACACACACTAGCGCGCGCCGACAGGGCTGCATCGCGGGACGGCCTGCTCGCCACTGTAAGGGGCTATAGCGCCTGCTGGGTGGGCAGTGCGGCCGGCGGGTGTGAGCAGCGGGCCTGCCTACCCCGCCTCCGTCAGGGGCCATGGCGCCTGGTGGGTAGGCAGTGCCGCGGCGCAGCCCTGGCCGGCGGGACTGCATAGCCTCGCGGCGTCCGCCGTGTGCCATCCCGTAGCGACACCGTACGTGTGTTGACGAAAGGGGCGTCACCGCACTGCACTGCAGCAGCGCGTCCACCACGAGCCTATCCGGCCTCTGGACGTTGAAAATGGCAGTTCGCTGCGTTGACGGGGTCGCCGTCAGTGCTAAACTGTGACTGCGGCGGGCGGGCGGGGTGATGCCCATCAGCGCGGGCCGAAAGGAAATGCCGAATGCTTTAAGCGCGTCACTCTGCGCCGCGCCGCTCGGCGCTCCATTCGAACGGCGGAGCGGCCCAGTCGGAGTGCCGCCTCCGATTCGCAATAAAACGTTGCCGCTGCAGCCGGCGGGCTGTTGTCCCGGAATGAGTGGGGGGCCGGGGCGGCCGGGCCGGCGCCGTTGGAGTGGGCCTCGGCCTCGGGACGGGGGCTGCCTCCAGCCTGCAGCCCTGCATCCGAAGCCAGGACGGTGGTTGCCCCCGGAACGCGTTGTCCGTTGCTTCCCTCGCGCGTTCGCGTCGAGCCACATTCATCACATTCGTCGCGGACTCCCGCAGAGCACTGCGCGCGTCGCGCCTTCCTGCCCCGCAAGCCACGCGGGGTTTTTGATCGCGCTTGACAGTCGTTTGATCCCCGTCGCGTTTCCCCTCTCGCACGCATGCATCACGCAGTCCCCCCGAACAGCACGTATTTTGTCAACTGCGCGCGGAGGGGTGGGGGAGCGAGGGGAGTGGAGCTTGCGGTCGCGAGTGGAGGGGGGAGGGGCTTGATTCATGAAGTAGCCAGATTGTGACGAGAACATATTATCGCCTGCTCCCCCGCCTCGGAGAGCCTCATCCGCCCCCTCCCTCTTGCCAAGCGCCCCCCCCCCTTCTCAATCAAGCCTCAACCACCCTCAGCCGCGTTACACTGCGTTATGGAGCGAGCGTGGTGTGAGTGATTGCGTTCGTGATAAACTACCGCCCGTTAATTATTTATGCACGCGTTGTGCCGCCAGTGTACTCGCATGTGCATGTGTGTGCGTGTCAGTGCGTGTGTGTTTGTTTTGCATCTGTTGGTGTTCGTTTTAAAATGCATATGTGTGACTGAAACTGAAACTCGAATCCCGTATACATGGCCGCGCGGCGTTCGGTTCCATTGGGAAGTGGTCATGTAGTGCTGTAGGCGGTGGCTCGGTTGGGATATGGAGCTCCCCGCCACTGGCACGGCCCTGGCGGCCCTGGCGGCCCGACGGTCCCGGGGGACACATGTCATCGCTCACACGGGGCTCTTGAGGTGGCGTGCCGTGCCACGCCCTGCCACGCCACGCCGTGCCGCGCCGAGACGCCGTGGCGCCGCAAAGCACGGCCGGTCGTCCGGCGGCTCCTTCTTCGGGCGGCTCGCGGGGTAATCGCCGACAAACGATGATAGATGGCGCTGAGTTATTCGCAGGATGGTGATGGAACGCGTGTATCTGCGAATAACGTGGCCACGGCGATCATGTAGAGGAGGAGCATGGCCGCTATCGGGGTCAAGGATGGGCGGCCGGCCTCAGCCAGCCCGGGCCGGCCGTTGCGTCCCGACCACTCCCGGGGTGGCTCTAGCCCCAAATCACAATGGATGGCATGGCCCGCCCAGCCCGCCCAGCCGGGCCGGCCGCGCTGCCGTGGACTGCAGTACCATTCTTCCTCATGTAGTGTAGCGCACGGCGGATGCACGACTTATTTTGACACGCCTCGGAACACGGCGCGGGCCGCACTGCAGCGCTCCGGACATCCATTCGGCGTGGCGCCGCGTGGCGCCGCGTGGCGCGAGGTGCACTACACTGTTTGCACCGTGGCGCTCCTTGGAACTTTCCCTGCAGGCCGCTGTCAATTAGATGGGGGCGAGGCGGGTATGTGCGTGGCACAGCTGCGTGCTATCACGCGCACTCACACACACGCACACTCTCACGAACGCGCGCTCTCTCTCTCGCCGAGACATTCACACACACACGAAGGCATTTTCCGTATCGCGAGTTGTCGCTGGCGCGCGAGACAAACTTTAGTTGTGTGTGCGTGCTATTGCCCCTGTGCCGACACTGCCGACGGCGCGCGTCGAGCTGCTGGCTGCTTGCCTACATGTGTGCCGGAGCAGTGTCGGAGCAGGCTGGGACGAAATCCAACACTGGGAATTATTCTTGTTGCTTCTTTCCTTTATTTCTTTCCCTTCGTATTAGTATTGACTGGGAAGAGAAAAGAAAAGGGCGCGCGCGGGGGCGGCGGGGGTGTCGAATGGAAAAGAAATGGATCCCCGCCTCGTGTGCGAGTGTGTGAGTCGCGTGCATGTGCGTGTGAGGAGGGCGGAGTGTCTGAGTGCAGGAGGGGGCTGCTACGCGTGTTCTGTACTGCGGCCCAGGATATGCCGGCCCGGCAGTATAGGCTTGCCTTCCGAAACTAAACTTGTACCGCGTGCGCGTGCACACACATACACACACACACACACACACACACTCGACGGCCTTTATTATTTCATTTGTCGCGCCGTGCCTCCAGGGCCCTGGTTGGTCCCCCGGCGGTCGTACCGTCGCACCTCCGGCCCTGGGCCCGCCCCTGGCCGCGTCCTGGGCGGCTTGGCGCCGCCTCTGCCCGTGCTTCGGGCTTTCGTGTCGTCTGCTGGCGTGTCTTCTGCCTGGCGTCCCTGGCGTGCCTGGCGTGCCTGGCGTGCCTGGCCTGCCGTCTGCCCGCCGCCGCGTGGTGCGTTGTAGGGTTGTGGGGCGCGCGTTCGCCGCGCTCGCGCCGGATCGGCCTCGTGGCGTGCGGCCCCCGCGCGGTGCGGGTATCGGCCGTATCGGCGCTCGTGGCGTGATTCGGGGACTGCTGCAGCCGCGGGGCCTTCGCATGGGCCCGCGGGTCGCTGACCTGTTGACTGGCTTGGCAGCGCTTGGCAGCACTTGGCAGCGAGGCGCGTTGGTCGATACAGGGAAAGGTCAGCGAGCCCCAAGCCCAAAGCACCCCGGCCTGGTCCCTAGCCTCCCTCCTCGGCCGCCGCGGTCACCATTAAATAAGCAAGCGGACTTATTTTTCGAGTGGCCTGGTGGCCGCCACCGCCGGAGGCGTCTTTGGCAGCGCGCCCGCGCCGCGTGTCCCGAGGAGACGGCAGCCACGCCAGCCACGTCAGTCCTCCTCCCCAACGGTGTCCTCTTCGTCCTGCCCTGGCCGGCGGGCCCTTTCTTTCCAAAGGTCTCCTTCGGCGGATCATCTTATTTCCTGCCAGAAGTGATACCGTTGTAAGTGGTTGAGTCGACGTCCCCTCCCCTCCCCGCCCCGCCCCGCCTCCCCGTGGCCCTCCAGAGGGGGTGGATCCTTTCCCATCCGACCGGCATTGTCACAAAAAAAAAGGAACCGTCTGCTTGACTTTTTCGCGGGGCCGTTTTCATTTTTATCGTGCCCTCGGTGAGCACCTCGGCGAGCGTCTGCGAGGTAGACTCGCCCGCTGCGACGGCGTTGTGCCCGGTCCAATCACTGTGAGGCATCGAATGTGAAAAAGTGTTGTATTTGCCTCGGGGAAAAATAAATGTCGCATTCATTTGAACATTGTCTTGAGGAAATTCTTGCCACGGGTACTTTCCATGCTGTACGATGTTTCCTGCTTCCGAGTCACGTTGATGCAAATGGAACTCCAGTCGGGCGTGACACTCCACTTCCATATCCAAACGAGTGTGGCGCCACAGTCATTTAACAGCAGTGGCAGTGTTTTAGAAGCACGCCCTCGGCAGCGGCGTCTTGTTGTCGTTCCAGGCGGCGTTGCCTTGCCGTTGCCTTGGCGGTGCCTTGGCGGTGCCTTGGCGGTGCCTTGGCGGTGGCGGTGAAGTTGCTCAAGTTGGCGGTGTTTGTGTTGCAGCTACGACGTCCGCGGCAAGCACAGCGGCTCGCCCTCGCACTGGAAGAACCTGGACGTGGTGCAGCAGCGCGCCTACTTCCGCACCAGCACGGAGCCCGCCTCGCTGGCGCTGAGCGACGTGGAGGAGCGCGACTCGGGCCACTACCGCTGCCGCGTGGACTTCAAAGCCAGCCCCACGCGCAACACCAAAGTGCGACTCGTCGTTGTCGGTGAGTGGAAACCGTTCCAGATCGTTGCTTGTGAGGGTGGCGCGTGTGGGCCGCGCCCAGGCCGAGCGGCCCAGCGCCGCCCAGCGCGCGGCTCCGGGTGAAAAGTTGGCAAAAGTTTGTCTCGGTGGCCGACGTGCGGCCTGCGCCGCCGTGCCGTATGTTGCTGTGTATTTATTTATGCAGGGTGTCTGCCGGGTCGGGCGTGGCGGCCGCCTTGCAGCCCTTTAGATTTATGGAGCGTCGGCCCAAGGTAGAGATTATGATTCGCAGGGCAAAGCTCAGGGACAGCGCGGCGGTGTCGCGCGAGTTGCGCAGTGAGCTACCTGCATGCGCCAAGCTCCACCGCTCGGAAAAACTTTCCGTCCCCCGCTTGGGGCGACCCGAGGGCTGCCTCTGACAGTGCACGAGTGTGACGTCACGCTCGTTTGGATGAGAATCGAGTCACATCGGAGCGTATTTGACGCGGGCCTGAAGTGGACCATCAACCCGCTTAGAGACATCGTATCAGTCATGGCCATGTTATAGTGACACACTGTGAACTACTTTGCATTTTTTTGCGCAAAGTCTTGCACGGAATTGAGCACTGATATTTAAATGCACGAAAACGTGCGTTGTCGGGCTTGAATTGCATTCCACTTGTGTGCTCAATTTGGTGCCTGAGCTAAGCCACCAAAAAAAGAAAACTATAAAGTAATTTACTGTGGAGGTTTACTGTTAAAACGAGCGTACCCCGATATTCCTGGCATTCAAATTCGCTCACGGAAATAGCAATACGGGCAATACGCGCGGACGCTCTCGGCGGTGATTGGCTTACGCTGTCGGTGCATTAGCGCTGCCGCGATCTCGATCCCATCGAGTGGCGGTCGCGTGTCTGCATGTGCAATCTCGCGCATCGGGGCCGCGGGGGCCGCCGGGTTGTTTTGGGCCAAAAGGCTTTTCTTTGCCTGGTGGACGAGAGGGGGAGGGGGAGGGGGAGGAGCAAGGTGAAACCTGGGGGAGGGAAGCGATTTCTCTTACAACGGAGTACAGCTCTGCTGCCGCCCGGCCCCGCCTCGGACCGGCATCAAGTTATTTATGGGTTATACGTGGAAAACATAATGACTTTCCCGGGAAGTGTGCCTCGCCCTTTCTTTGCTGGCCGGCTTCACACTGCCTCTGCCGGCCCATCCTGGCGCATCAGCGCGCCCTGCTGCAGTGGCGGGCTACGCGGCCCGCAACCTGCAACAACAGCGCCTTGCCCGACATCCAGGCTCGGACTGGCCAGGGCAGACAAGCAGAAAAATCTGCCGGGGCCTTTCGCGTTTAGGACCAGTAACGTCACAAAGTTGGTGAAAGAAGCCTAGTATATATAAGACGAAAGTAGCCGTTTTCGCTGATTTTGGGCGGCCACTGCATCCGATCTAATTGCGGTCAACGGCCGCCCTCGACGCCCTAGTATTCTTAAGACCCTACTCTTTCATGCCCTGTATCGGGAAGACGTTGACCACAACAATTTTGGCTTTGACCGCAACGATTTTCCGACCAAGTTGGTCAAAAAGTGGTCGAATCTCGGAAGTTTGCTGATTTTGCTGACTTTGGGTGGCCACTGTGTCCAATCTAGTCGCCGTAAAAGGCCTCCCTCGACGTCCTAGTATTCTTAAGACCCTACTCTTTCATGCCCTGTATCGGGGAGACGTTGACCGCAACTATTTTGGCTTTGACCGCAACGATTTTCCGACTAAGTTGGTCAAAAAGTGGTCGAATCTCGGAAATTTGCTGATTTTGCTGACTTTGGGCGGCCACTGTGTCCAATCTAGTTGCCGTAAAAGGCTTCCCTCGACGCCCTAGTATTCTTAAGACCCTACTCTTTCATGCCCTGTATCGGGAAGGCTATTGACCGCAACTAATTTGGGAGCGGTAGCCTCACAAAGTTGGTCATGAAGGGGAAAAACATAATGATGATCGGGGGCCTTTTGCGGTCTTATCCGCTGGGGCCTTTTGGGGGCCAGTCCGAGCCTGCTGACATCCACTGGGCGCGACGGCTCCGTCAAGGCGAGGGTGTTGATGAATTTTATGTTATCCTGCCACAACGCGGCGTGACGTTTTCGCGTTCCGGTCTGTGAAAAACTCCGTACTGTGGTGCGGCAATTGTTCTGAAAATTTGATACGGAAAATGTACGGAACATCCTTCAAGAATATGTGAAAACTGGTGCGGAAAACCTGCACGGGACTTCCGAAGTCTGTGAAGTACGGTTGCTTTGTATACATTGACACATTCTGTGCTTTTTCTGTACTTTCGTTTAATGCGCGCTCAAACGGCGCAAACGACTAGGGCGAACGTTTTTTTTTTCTTTCCGTGTTCGGTCGGATCAGGAGCGGTCCAGGCAAAAGCGGCGCGGCTGAATTGTCAGAGCTCTTCCTGCCGTTTCCCGCCAGGTGAATATTTCAACGCCCCGGCCACCGCGACGCTGTCGAAGCGAGGCGTGGCGGGCCCGCAAACACACGAGTCTGCCTGCCGGTTGGAAATTGGCGGCAGGCGCGGCCAGGCCGCAGATGTCCTCCGCGACGGCGCGCGTTGCAGCTGCGCAAGCTGCGCTGACAGAAGCCGCACCAGCCTCGGCAGATGCGCACTATTGCGCGCGGCGTCGCCGCGACGCCGTTTGTCCGTATCTCTCATCGCTGTTCCACGCGCGCCGCGCCGCGCCTTCCCGGTGCGGGGAGGGATCGTGTATCGGTTCGAGACAGACGTGCAATAAAAGGGGAAAGCTTTCGGCCCGAGGTGCCGCGTTGTTTCTCTCTGTGGAGGACGACGAGGGCCGCGTTGTCGACTCGGCTCTGGAAAACTCTTATGACTGCGGCTCCAGTGGCACAGCGTCTCGAGTAATACGTTGGCTCCAGCGGCACGGAGGCTCCAGCGGCACAGTGGCTCCAGCGGCACAGTGGCTCCAGCGGCACAGTGGCTCCAGTGGCACAAATGCTTCATCGGCATAGTGGCTCCAGCGGCACAGAGGCTCCAGCGGCACAGTGACCCCAGCGGCATAGTGGCTCCAGTGGCACAGCGACTCCACCGGCACAGCGGCTGGCTGCTGAACTGATTAATTAACCTGGCCCAGCGGAGGCTGCCACCGCTGCTGCTGCTGCTTGAAACTCGGGCAAGGCGATGCAAAGGATAGGGCTGGCCAGCCGGACTCTGGTCTCAGGGCTCCGGGGAGTCAAGTACAAGGAAGAGAGACTTACGTTCTGAACTCGGCGCATGCTAATCAGGCAGGATGGCCAACTTGAGCGCGGACAGTTGGCAGCAGTGGTGCTGGCCGCGAAGACTCCCTGCGCAGTGCTGCGCTCGGTGACCGCACTAGCCGCAATACCTGGACGGAGTCGCCGCCGCGTCCACCAAGTCCTGTTGGTTCGCTGCCGGACGTGCAATGCCGCTTTTGAAGGCACCATCGTATCGCCGTAATCCACCGCGCGAACCCACTTTGCTAAAGAAGCAGAGGAAGACGAACTGACGTCGCGTGGGGCGAGGCATGGCGGCATCGCGAAGTACCGATGCATTATTTGAGTTGCGCAGCACTCAGCGGATAGCGTCCTGCCACCACACGCCCACACTGCCGCATGTGGATAACGCTGAAGCCCACACACTAGCGTCTGCTATCCCGGTGCCGATACTACTGGCTCGGTCACTTTGCCGTCGCTGATATGTCCCGCCTCGAGTTCAAGCCGAGACCAGCTTGCTTCAACAGATTTCCTCTCTAACACGCCTCCAAGCTACCAACCGTCCCAGGCACACACTAAATGTTTGTGTAAAATTTTGTACGTGCCACCTGCACGATTTTGTGCATGCGGGACTATTTGCATAATATTTTGCATGAAAATGCATAAATTCATGCGAATTTCTGCACAATTTTATGCAAAACGTCTGGCAGGTTTAAAATCGTGCATCACGACGTACAAAATTCTTCGTAAACATTAAGTGTGCAGCGACACACTTGCGCCACACCCACGCTCGCCTTCAGTGTCGTAATCACCCGAGCGGAATGTTTTAGTGGTGCCGCGACCCTTGTTTCCTGGCGAACGCGCATTTCATTTTTTTCTGCATGCGGAAAACTCGACTCTCAAACAAAGGCCATTTCCTCGAACCGTTCCATTGAGGCGTGGGAGGCGTAGTGCGCAGTGGCCCGAGGAAGAAATGGCGCGCTGCCGCGAGTACCGTTGCCCCGTGGCAGCCCCCGCACGCGAGCATCTCTGTCGCTGCCATCTGGGGGGGCTGGCTGCATAACACCGTGCCCGCGGTTTGGGCAGGGCAGTGTAGTAGCGGCCGAGTTGCTTCCTGCCTAATCGCGTTGCGTTTATCCGCTCAACCTGCGAGCGCGTCGATCGGGCAGCCGCCACGCCTCGGCGGACGCACTCTGAAGGAGCCGCCGCGCCAGCATGGAGGGCTGCTCTCGAGAACGAAACCAAGTTGAAGGCGGAGGGAGGGAGAGAGGGAGAAAAGGAAAATTGTTGACTTAGATGGAGTCACGGCGACCTTGACAACAGTGTACTCGGCGTTGTTTGCGCTCCCCATTCAACCCACTCTGCGCGGACTGATTTCAAATTCAGGCTTGGGATTGATTCTGGTCCAAGTTAAGCCGCGAGGCCGCGCGCTAATTCTTGTCCCGCCAATGCTTGATTTTAGCGACCTTATTCCAGAATGTCACAGTCACGGAGTTATCATTTCGTGCTTCACTGCCAATTTATGCCTTTGTCAAAAAGTTTGGGCCGGTCTTAATTTTAAAATTTAGCTAATTTTGAAACCAAGTATGAAATTTGATTTTTGTAACGCTATGGAAAATGTTGTCGAAATCCTCTGACTACTTTCGAAAGCAGCTGCAGCTTACCTTTAACGCCCACAGCCCACATAATCCCCTACCACCCGCAGCTCTTATCCTCCATTTGCTGTAAATGATTTTACTCTTGCGCTTTTATCCAAGCTCAAACGTGGCACACACAGCAGCACGTGGCTGTGACGCCTGCCGATGACG